GGCGAATTGAGAAGAGGCCGACCAAGCAGTCTGACAACAAGCATACAGTTTTGCGTGGTGGTGAAGAGGAGTCTTGAAGGCTGCCAATGGAATGCATTATATGCATACAGCTTGTTAATTTTCTCGCATAATACACATTTTGGAGAAAAAACAATATTTAAACAGCTGCAAAGGTTGTTCACTGCTGTCGTCGCCCAGGCGGCAAGGCGTCCTCTTTACGTCTGTTGATATGCATCTGTACAAATAGACCCGACCACAGAAGACTCTTGACTTTAAATCCCGTTTCCCCTCCCCTCTCCGGCCAGGCCGGTGTCAGGAAGTCTGCACAAACAGCGGTCTGGTGCCTCTGCTGAGGCAGGGTTCTCTGTTCGTCACTTTCGTTGAAAAGTGAGTCTATCCAAGAACTATGAAACAATCCTAGGCCTGCCTGTCTTGACGTGAAAGGCCGGGTTGATTTATTCTTCCTCGCTTGGGGTATGCATGCCGAATCGATGTTCATGTGTTTCTATAAATCTAAAACGAGCCAAAATAATGAGCATATCAAGAACCCCGCTTGCATGACTGGCACATCTGCCTGCAACAACGCTGCCTGTACTACGGGCCGTCTATTCGCTGTTTGCACGTGTGTATGTGTTGCTGCCAGATTTGTTTATGTTGTTTTGGCCAAAAAGTTGGGGAAATTTTCATACAAAATACGTGAATCATACCTTTTGCTTGATGGCCACATCATTTGAATTGATTGCGTTGGCTTGTGCCTGTTTTCCCAACTTGCTATATCTACAAAAAGACTTCCTGATGAGTCTGGAAGTACGTCCGAAAATGCCGCTGGCCACTGTTCGCATTCTTGGAGGTACGGTTGGCCTGTCTGAATCTCGTTGCAGATACCACCGAGCGAGAGTCTGGAGGTCAGGAGAGTTACCAGCAAAATTTGGTCTCAAACACTCACCTTAGCCATCTTTGATGGGCTAAAATGCCCTCAGCACGATCTAGGATCCACACCTTCAGAGGCTATCTCGGCTAGTATAGGATTAGCGATAGAATTAGATCAAAACTTAGTCTTGTCGTTACAGCGTGGATTATGGTCAGGGTTGTGTTTATGGCTCATTTTGGGGCTATATTCTTTTTAAGGGCTATGCTGAGGGTTAAAATTAATCTCACAGTTCAGCCTGCTGTTAAGATTTTGCTTAGTTTGTAGTAAAATTAGCTTTTTTTGGGCTTACCAATATGGTCCTTTTTATGGCCTATTCCATTGCTGTGATAAGCTATGATTTGGGTTTATGGTTAAGGCTGGTGTTAAGTTTGTGATAATGTTGTTGGATATATTCTACTGTTTAAAAGTGGAGTTGGAACTATTGTTAGGTTGAGTTAGAAATTACAGTTTTGTTTTAGGCTAGATTTATTCACAGAGCTATTGTGAAATTTTGGTGAGGTTTGTGCTCATAACTATTATTAGGCCTAGAGCTATGTTTATTTTAAAGGTCATGCTTAACTGAGGGATATATATTATTGATAGTATGGTTAGGTAGGATGCTAGAGTTTGAGTTGGGTTAAATTTAAGCTCATTTTAAAGTTGCACTTCTTATCAGAATGAGCTTTCACGATCTAGTACAATGTTTGCGTTGGCATTGGGGGGTCGAGT